GTTAGGGTGACTTCATTTTGCAGGATTGTATGGCTCACAGAGCTAAGTTGTTTTATTATTTCAGGGACAATGCGTGTATAGGACCGGAATATCAGCCATGTTTCCTGGGGGTGGCTGTTTTTCTACCAATTGTAGATTTTTCCATTGACCCCTTTTACTTAGCGGTCATCCTATGGCTCGCAGATGGTAAGAAATAATTTATTTTGTATGTTGGAGGTGAAAACATGCTGGTTTACCTGAGAATCCTGGATATGGGAAACTTCCTGTGCTACATGAATGGTGCAAGAATTATATGGCCACTCCTCATAGGTGGTGTTCTACTAATGGCAATAGTCATGGTATTGGTCACAGAGAAAGCACACACCATGAGCAGAGAACCTGATTTGTAGAGTTTTGGTTTTTGTTTGTCGAATCACAATTATTACTGCTGACTGGCAACTGGCTGGTTGGCAGTCTGCTTGGGCAATGTAGTGAGTCCTGGTAGTGGGACTCTCAACTCAGGATTCCTGGATGTAGAAGCGCTAAACAAATAAGTTGGCTTCAAGAGGAGATATCAGAAGGACTGTCAGGAGGAGGCTCTGATGGGTTAGGGGGTGATGGGTTGGGGCAATGGGTGAGGTGGAGGCAAGTGGGGTCCAGGGGTTTGGATTTCTACTAGTCATTTTGGGGAGCCAGTTTGAGGTGGGACACATGGTACTATGGAGTGTGACTTAGGAGTTTGGCCGCTGTGGGGGTGGTTAGGATAACAATGTGAGGTCCTGACTACCTGGGCTGCAAAGACCTTGGTTTGAGATTTTGGAGGAGAATGCTGTCACCTGGTTGGAGAGGTGTTGCTGGGTGAGGGTCTTCTGGTCCTGGAACAACAGGGAGGGTGTGATCTGCTTGCTCCCTAAGCAGGTGTCAGAGAAGAGAGAGGAAGGGAAGATGGGAAGCTAGTGGGGGCAGTTTTACAGGGAGATTATGGGAAACTAGGAAAGACTGGCCATACAGCAGTTCGAAGGGGCTAAGGCCCATTGGCCCCCATGGGGTTGCCTGGACCTGTGCCAGGGCAAGAAGTAGGAGTGTGGACCAAGAGAGTTTTACTTCAATAGCAAGTTTGGCCAAATGGTATTTGAGGATGCCGTGGGCCCATTCAACTTTACCCGATGACTGAGGATAGTAAGGGATGTGTAGTTTCTAGGAGATGTTGAGGGACTTGGTGACTAGCTGGACTACTTGGGCTGTAAATGCTGGACTGTTGTCTGACTGAATGGTGGCAGGTAGGCTGAAGCAAGGGATGATTTCTTGAGTAAGAAGGGAGGCTACCATGTCTGCTATCTCCCGGGAGGTGGGGGAGGCTTCAATTTAACCTGAAAAGGTATCTACAAAGGTTAGGAGGTAGTGGAGCTTTTTGTGAGTGGGCATATGAGTGAAGTCAATTTGCTAGGTCTGGGCTGGTAGGTTGCTATGCGTTTGGTGGGTAGGAAACTGTGGCGTTAAGCTTCCCTGAGGCGAGACCTTAGAGCAAGTAATGCATGCCTTGTGTACCTGCTCAATTGTTTGTTGCAGACCTGGTGAGAAAAAGAGGGGCTGTACAAAGCAGTGTAACGCCTTAGGCCCTATATGTAAGGCTTGGTGGATTTCAGCAATAATTTTAGGCGACTGTTCCTGGGGAATGGTGATTCTGTTACTCAGGAAGATCCAGCGCCGATTAGATTCTGTTCCCCCTTTTAGTATGAGGGCCTGTTTTTCTGATGGTGAGTATACAGGCTGTGTGGCTGTGGTAAGGAAGAGAACTGGGGTAGGGGTCAACTTGGCATTAAAGATCTTGCTGCCGTATCTGCCCACGCATTGCCCTGGGAGACAGCATCATGCTGGGCCTGGTGTCCTCGGCAGTGTATGACTGCAACCTTCCTGGGCAATGATAAGGCCTGTAAAAGGTTGGAGGGCAGAGTGGCAATGGGTAATAAGAAAGGCATATTTTGAGTCAGTATAGATATTGGCTTGTTTTACCTGTGCTAGTGTGTAAGAGCTCGGGTTAGGGCAATGAGTTTCACTTTTTGTGATGTGGTTCTTCCGTCACAGAGGCAATGTGCTTCGAGGGTGGCTGAATCTGTGACTACAGCATAGGCTGCCTTTCGCTGCCTGTCAGCTGTCATAGAAGGTAAGGTGTGGGTTAGGTAGGGGAAGGTCGGCTAGGCCCTCCCGAGGTTTGGCAAGTGCATCCATTATTTTAGGGCAGGAGTGGGCTGGGGAAGGGGGGAAGGGATAGAAGGGGAAGCAAGGTAGCTGGGTTGATTGGGGAAGTGGGGTGAGGGCTGACTAAAGGATTTTCAATGAAGAGCAGGTGGAACTCCTGTAGACGGGAGGGCCCTAGGTAAGTGAGATGTTTGTGGGAGAGGAGGTCAGTAAGCTGGTGAGGAGAGAATACTGAGATGGGCTGGCCCAGGGTAAGTTTTAGGGATTCCTTGGTAAGTTCTGTTGCTTCTCCCAGGGCCCACAGGCAAGGCTGCCACTCCCTAACCGTGGGGTCAAGTTGCTTTTATAAGTAGGCTACAGGGCAGAACACAGGACCCAGGGGTTGGGTTAGAACCCCGACAGCAACGCCCTGTTTCTCATCAGTGAACAGACAAAAGGGGCGATTGAGGTCCAGCAGATGAAGTGGAGGTGCGGTGGACAGAACAGTTTGGAGGGTTTTAAAAGCCCATTTTACAACTTCAGGATGGGAGAGAGATCCCGTGGGGGTGTCTTTAGCTGCCACATACAGAGGTTTAACTAGAGAGGCAAAATTAGGTATCCAGTGGCAGAAGAATCATAAAAACCCTAAAAAGGAGAGAATCTGGTTGGCAGTCTCCAGGGGCTGCAGTGAAAGAAGTGCTTTCTGGCAATCTGTTATTAGGCTTTTAGTTTTGGGGGTGAGGCAGATGCCTAAGTAGACCACTGAGGTGACTGATAACTGTGCTTTGGAGGGAGATATTCAGTATCCCTGAGATCTAAGAAAGTTAAGGAGAGTGGCAGTATGCTGTTGGGATAGGGAGAGGGAGGGGCTACAAAGTAATAGGTCATCTATGTACTGGAGAAGGAGACTGGGTTGAAGGGGGCAGGAGCGAAGGTTGGCTGCCAAGACTTTTCTAAAAATGTGAGGGCTGTCTTGGAACCTCTGAGGCAGGACTGTCCAGGTAAGGTGTTGTGACAGGTTGGTGTCAGGATTGGTCCAGGTGAAGACAAAGAGAAAGTAGGACTCACGGTGAAGGGGAATGATAAAGAAGGCATCCTTGAGGTCAGCAACTGTTAAATGAGACATAGTGGAGGGAATGTTTGATAATAGAGTGTAGGGGTTGGGGACTACAGGGTGGAGGGGTACTACCACTTCATTGATAAGGTGCGGGTCCTGAACCAGGTGGTAGTCGCCAGATGACTTTCAGACCAGCAAGATAGGAGAGTTACAAGGGGAACTAGTGGGAATAAGTAGTTCCTGGGCTAGCAGGTGGGTGATGATAGGCTTCAGGCTTTGATGATGGGTCTTCAAGATGGGGAACTGAGGACATGAGGGAAATTGGGTAGGATCTTTGAGAAGTATCTTAATTAGAGTATGATGTTTGGCCACTACAGGCTTGGAAGTATCACATACCAGGGGATTAACTACATCAGGAGGGATAGGGGGTTGAGGTGAGGAGTTAGGGCAGAATGTGGCATCACTTAGGAGTGGCAGTAGGAGGTGAGTGTATGATGGGCTTGAGTGTAGGGGGTCAGTGAGTTGGAGAGTGGCTCCCACAGTCTGGAGAATGTCTCATCCTAAAAGGGGGACTGGGCACAAGGATATAATTAAAAAAGAGTGGGAAAAGGGGTGTCCCTGGAGGACACAGGCTAAAGGATGGGTTTGATTAGGACAGGAAGGCTTTCCATCAATTCCCATGACTGAAACCTGGGAAGGTATGCTTGGTCCTGAGTAGGAAGGCAATACAGAATAGTAGCCCCCATGTCCACTAAGAAGGAAATGGACTTACCTGCTACCTGCAGTGTTACCCTGGGCTTGGCAAGGGTGATGGGGGTCTTCAAGTCCAGGCTGCGTCAGTTGTCCAGAAGGCCGAGAAGTTCAAGTGATAGGATTGCTTCCTGCGGACCGGCCCACCCTCCACATAGAGGTGCGGGGGATAGGCCTATAGTCCGGGACGGGCAATTACTGCACCAATGTCCAAGCTGCTTGCAGTCTGGGCAGGGCTTGGTAGGTGGTCAGGGACATGGACACTGATGTGTCAAGTGTCCCTCCTGACCACACTTGAAACAGGGCCCAGGTGGAATGCCTCCGAAGTTCTTGGTGGGTTTTGATGGACCCCCTCTACCCGGTGCCTGGTGGGCTGCTGTCCTCAGGGCTGTCACAAGAGCTTGGGTTTGGAGGCTTACTTTTTGCTGTAGACGGGCCTGGAGGGTAGCCTCAGCCTTTTCCTCTTGGCCATTAAAAACTTTAAATGCCATGTCTACCAGGTCTCGTATGGCAGTTTGGGGGCCCTCCTCAGCCTTTTTAAGTTTCTTTTTAATGTTAGTTGCAGACTGAGAGATGAAATGTGTCGTTAGAACTGTAGCTCACAGTAAAGAGGCCATGTCCAGCCATGTATGAAGGATCATAGCATTAGTTAATCGGTCGAGGAAGGCAGTGGGGTTTTCAGTAGGACCCTGAGTTATTTCCCTTAACTTACCATAATTAACTACCTTTTGGGCTGAGCTTTGCATGTCCGCTAGGAGGCACTATAGCATTTGGTCTCGGTGGTGGTGGCCATCTTGACCAGTTTGATAATTCCAATTAGGGTCAGCCTCAGAGACTGCCACTGCACCTACTGGTATCTGATTGTCTGTGAGATGTACCTGATAAGCATGAGCCTGAGCCACCATAAGGATGTGGTCACGCTCATCTGGAGGGAGGGTGGAGGACAGAATTACATTGGTATCATGTCAGGTGAGGTCATAAGCCTGGGTGAGGTAGCGGAATTCTTTGGTGTAAGCAGTAGGATTGGTGGAAAATAACCCTAGGCATTTCTCAATAGTGGATAGATCAGAGAGGGACAAAGGAACATGTACTTAGACAACGCTTTCCACTCCGGTGACCTTGCACAGGGGGCAAAGAAGGGAGGTTTCATCATTAGGAGCACAGTGCAAGTGAGTGTGAGCACTAACAGGAGAGCCTAGGTTGAAACCAGGAAGAGGAGGAGCTGGAGAGGGTTGAGGTTCCACATAGAGTGGATGATTAGTGGGCCGGGTGGGTGGAAAGGAGAGTTCTTCGGGTGGGTTGGGGTTAAAAAAGGAGGAGGATGATGGAGGGGTCGAGGGCGTTGAGGGAGTTTATTTGGCCAGGAGCACCTGAGTGGTGGTGCAAGAGGAACAGAGGGTGGGATGGGAGTAAAGATACCAGAAGGCCTGAACATAGGGAACCTCTGACCATTTACCATTTCTTTGACAGAGATTGTCTAAATGGGTTAGAATGCCAAGATTGAAAGTTTATTCCAGTGGCTACTTGGACTGGTTGTTTAGAGGATACTGGGTGAAGAGGAAAAGCCACCTTTTCTTTTTTATGGAGAGGCCCACCTTGGGTAAATTTTGGACTAGACATCCCAATGGCAACTTGGGGTCTAGGCGGGACCCCTGATTACCCATAGTCCACTCTCTGTCACAGAGTAGTCAAGAATAAGGGACAGTGTCCCGGACCCCAACACCTGAGTACCGGAGATTATGGGGAAGGACAGGAGTATAGGGATGTCTCCACAATATACCTGTCTTCCAGGGTAGGCGAGCAGGGGCACCAGGACGTCTCCACAAGAGCCCACAGCTCTAGACGGGAAGGGGTCCCTGACACAGCCACGATTATGGACAGGGTACCACAAGGCTCGGAGCAAACACAGGATGGGGTTATGGGTAATAGGAGTCTTACCGAGTTTTGGCTGCAGCTCCCTGGTTAGGCTTAAGGTGGAGGGGTCAGTTTCCCCCAGGAGGGGTCTTGAACTCCTCCCCAGTTTTGGCACCACTTGTAAGGGTTATTGCCAAGTTTAAAATGAAGAAACTGAGGCCAGTATAAGAAAATAAAATGCCAGTTTATTCAGCTCCTGGGCGAGGTTTTATGGTCTGCGGAAAGGGGGCCAGAGAAGTCGTGCTGACTTCCTGGGGTGTGGGGTTTTGTGGCTATGAGTATCGAGAAACAGCAGGGCACTGTAATTCGCTCTGGGGGAGCAGGATTGGGCTGCTATGGGTTGGCAGGTTGGCAGGTGGGTTTTTGGTGCAATATTTGGTTAAGGTTGCATCAGCCGGAATTTCCGACTGGAGGGCTGGGTGCACAGAGTGCTGAGTGCAGAGCTGGATGCTGAGTGCAGAGCTGGGTGGCTGTCCGGGCTCCTGATGAGGCATCCAGCCTTACATAAATCATATCAAGTGTTAAGACCTACTGAGTTTTTACCCCAATCAGAAAGCTATTTTTGATCATTCTTGATCCTAGCAGAAGTTATGAGATTTTGTAGCTTTGTCTCTGGAAGCAGACATGTAGACTGAAATCTCAACTTCTTTTACCGGCTAGGTGAACTGCAAAGTTAATCTCTCTTAGCTCACTTCCTTCACCTTAACAGTAAGGATATTTGGAGTCTTTCTGGAAAATTTGTTATGAATATTTTGTGTAAAATGACATAAGGCAATGCATGTCCATATGTTAAATGTTAAATAAATATTTGCTGTCGACACCTGTCATCATCTTCAAGTTCTATGTGTAACACCTATCATCTCTTTCAAATTTTTGGCCTGTTTGTTATACATATATTAATGTATAAACTCTTCAAATATTTTGTAACTTCCTCGATAGCAATGATTAGATTCTTACATTTGCTCTATGATCAGAATGTAGAAACAGGAAATGTATTAGTTTCCTGTTGCTGATGTAACAAATTACCACAAACTTAGTGGCTTAAAGCAACACATTTTTAGTCTTCTATAGTATGTGAGATCAGAATCCACAGTGCATTTTACTGGGCTGAAACTAAGGTATCAATAGGATTATACTTTCTTTAAGGCACTAAGAGAATATCTGCCTTTTTTTCCTTTCAACATCTAGAGCGGTATCTCTTACATTCCTTGATCCATTGTCATTTCCTTCATCTCTAGCCCAGCAATGTAACATGTTCACATCACCTATACCTTTTCTGTAGTTAAATCTCCCTCCCTCTGTTTTCCTCTTATACAGACACTTATGATTAAAGGTAAAAACTACACAAAACATCCAGAATAAATATCTTCATTGCAAAATACTTGTTATTTATATTTACAAATTTCCTTTCTTTTCATGTTAACATTAACAAGTTCCAGAGATTAGGATCTAGATATCTTTGCCAGCAATTATTTATTCTACAACACTTCATACTGTGGCCCACAGAGATTCATGTCCATCCCACATGCAAAATGCATTAATCTTGTCCAGTTGTCTCCAAGTGTTTCAACTGATTACAAAATCAACTTAAAAGTCCAAAATCTCATCTAAATATAAGAATTTCAGAAGTCCCAAGTCATTATCTATAGTAATCTAAATCAGGCATGAGTGAGACTATCAATATCATTTACCCTGGGCAAAGTTTACATTTGTGGACCTGTGAAACTAGAAAACAAGTTATATAGACCCAAAATATGACAGGAAAGGCATAATGTAACAGTATAACATTCTCTTCTTCCAAAAAGAGAAAATAAAAGCAAGAAAAATGTCATTGGACCTGTAAAATTTTGAAATCCAACTGGGAAAACTTCATTAGGATTCAAATACTGAAAATAATCATCTGTCATCCAAGGCTCCATCCATTGAAACTATGGCTCAACTTTTAGTGCTCTGTGCTCCATCCTCTGTTCCTAAGTGTCCTCTCTCTTCACATGTTTCCTTTTTCTTGAATAGTAGTACATATTTACAGCTGAATAGATTAACTGTTCTACTACTTGCACAATTTTTTTAGTCAGGTATTCTTTCTTTTTGTCTCACACCAGTCTCTGTCAGTTCAATCTAGCATTACTTCTTCTTGGAAAATGTTCTTGAAACTCTCATTGGTCCGCTGTGTGTGTTATGTGACTTCATAACATTAGAGAATAAGCTTCTCCATAGACTCCTCAACTCTCCTGTATACTCTGATTCTATTGAAACATTTGAGGTGATACATAAGCTGCATGTCTAATCTTGTCAGCACTTGCAAAAGTTTGTCCAGCCACACGGATGGCCTGCCCTCTCTCCACAGAACGCTTTGCGGACAATAAATCTACTAAGTTTAGCCACTTTGTGATGTTTATGGGCTGAGAATTCATGCTAGCCATCAAGATCCAGTTTGATTTGTTTAACAGTTCTTCCTTCAAATTATTTTTTTCCTTTTCAATTTCCCTCAGTAACAAAAAGAAACCAGACAATATTTTGAAGACTTTGTTTAAAAATCTCCTTAGTTACATATTAAAGTTCATTGTTTAAAAGTTCTAAAGTCTCCTTTTTATAGTTCTCAAGTTATAACTATAGAAGCCAATTCAGCTAAGCTTTTTGCCACTATCTAATTAGTGTCACCTTTTCTCCACTAATAGTTTCCATTTCCTTTGGATCCTTCACCAACAATGATTTTAATGTTCATATTTCTACCAACATCCTATCTGGGACATTTTACACATTTTCTAAGATGATACAGGCTTTTTCTTATGCTACTCACTTCCTTGTTAGACTCACCAGCAGTGCCTCTAAGATCAATATTTCAACTAACACATTATAAATATTTGCATGAGCTAGTGGAGGCATAGGATAATCACAGCACTTATCTTCTCCACATTTCCAAAGTAGTCAGCATAAGCCAGTTGACAGTCATTTATAGAATAGACAATTTCCTGGCCTTAACAACAACATAAAAAATATTTTACAACCTTGATATAACAATTGCTGAATGAAAGTTATCTTTGCTTACAGGTAAAATAACCATTAAAACTATAAATTGTGTGTGCCTGTTTATTATCAATTATTTTGGGAAATAATCCTGGGCATGGAGAGTCTATGTATTTACATGCATGCAGTATATGTTTGTATATGCATGTGTATGCATGGATGTTATATTGAGGAGATGTTTTATTTTTGAGATCACAAACTAAAATATCTTATAATATTTAATACTTATGGATACTCATGCTACCAGCTTTCTTGCTTGTCCAAAAGTGTCAGGTTCTGCATGAATAAATCAAATAGAAAGTCAAATTGAATATATCATACATTTTACTTCCCACTACCTTCCTGTGAAGAAAAGCCCTCTTTACTAGTCTGTTTGCATCTCAAGAGTTCTTCATTTTTAATTTACCAGATGGCACCATAAGTTAAGGGTTTACTGGACTATAAAAACTAGGAAGTTTTATTCTTAGAGGCCATGGAGTATTATTACAAATTCAACTCCAGATTTGTCTTCAGGATCATACCGAATATCACAATAATTAAGTATTAGTGATTTCCTGGTGGGTGGCTGATATGGTTTGGATTTGTGTACCCACCCAAATCTCATGTCAAATTATAATCCCCAGTGTTGGAGGTGGGGCCTTGTGGGAGATGGTTGTATCATGGTGGTGGACTTCCCGTTTGTCATTCTTCTGATAGTGAGTGAGTTTTCAGGAGATCTGGTTGTTTAACATTGTGCAGCACCTCCCCCTTCTCACTTCTTTTCTCCTATTTTAGCCGTGCAAGACATGCCTCCTTCTTCTTCACCTTTCACCATAAGTTTCCTGAGGCCTCCCCAGCTTCCTGTACACACTGCAGAACCGTGAGTCAATTAAACCTCTTTTCTTTATAAATTGATCTCAGGTAGTTCTTTATAGAAATGTGAGAACTGCTTTGTTTCTCCTCCTTTCCCCTCCCCTCCCTCGTTCCCTCACTCCTCCCCTCCTTCGCTCACTCAGCCTCTTTTGCTCAGTATGTGTAACTTGAAGGTCATTTGTACTACTGGATATCTGACTGGAGCCACAGATACAGAATCTGTATTGTTCTTATTAAAACACAGCATGGATTAACATTAAACTTAAACAAAACAAACCTAAATTAAAAATGAAAAAAGAACTGACTGATACAGTGGCCTAAAGAAAGCCTATTTCTTTAATTGCCTATTAATTCATCTGTTCATTCCTTCAAGCTGTATATTGAACAACTATTATATGCCTGAAATATGAGATACTTTATATTTAGATACTTCATTGAACAGAAAAGATATAAGTTTGAAAGTTGTATCTAGCAATAAAGTAATCATAATAAATATTTAAATTGCATAATATATTGGAGGGTCCTAGTGTTAAGGACAAGAATGAGACTAGAACATATAATGGAAAATAATAAGTTTTTGACCTTAAATATTATAGTCAGAAAAAGCCTTTTTGAAAAGATTATATTTAAGAAGACAGCTGAAGAACTTTTACTACAAAATTATGCAAATATTCATGTAAAGCCTAATTCATGAAGAGAGAAGAGCTGATGTGGAAGATTTAAAATGTAGAAGACATGGCCAGACATGCAATAAGAAGGCTATTGCATGGATTTGGAAATTATCTATTTGGGCATTTCACTTTCTCCCTGACCACAGCACATAATTATAGGAAAAGTACAGACCTCCTTTCCACCTAGTCCACAAAGACATTAAGGGCAAATGGAGTATATAATGGGTAAACCGCTTTTAAGAGGAAAATCACCTCTTTATATTTGTGAAATCTATTCTTTTTTCTTATATGGCTAATGTATTAGCCTTCAGTAGTTGCATCAGCAGTATTTTTTTCCTGGTGATTGAGTAGATTCCAGAACACAGCATAAGAGAAGAGAATAGAAACATAAAATTATGTGCTTAAATTTATTGGAGGGGGTGCTAAAAGCAAAATAAAATAAATACACATTCTCTGTGCTTTTTTATGCAGAATATCAGAATCACTGAAAAATAATGAATTAAGGGAAGAATGGTCTGTATTTATTTCTGAGAGCAATGAAAATCCACGGAATGGAATTTAAGCCAGCAACATGGTTTTCCTTTTTAAAACTCTGGCTGCTATTTGGAGAATGCACTGCTCATGTGGTTAATAGAAAACATTTTGGCAACTTGTATCAAGAGCCTTAAAATAATTACTTAAAAAGAGGTATAAATCTACATATAGAAATCCATTATATGGGAGCAAAAAGAAATTATTTAAAATTATTACAGAATTATTACTCCAAATGTTATTTAAATAGTGAAACACCAGAAAAGACAAAATGTCTTTTAATGAGGAATAATTAAAAATAAGATCTATCCAACAATGGAATATTCCACAGCCATAAAAAAGTGTGTTTTCAAGGTGTACACATGTACCTAAGAGAGCGGTATAATAGATACTGGAGACTCCAAAAAGTGGGAACTAGGAGAAGAGTGAGGGATGAGAAATTATCTACGGTGTACCATTTACACTCTTCAGTTCATGAATACGTGAAAAATCTAGAATTTACCACTATCAATACATCTATGTAACAAATTGCACTTGTACCCCCTAAGTATGTTCTTTTTAAAGCATGTTTTCAAAGAGGATTTAAAGAAATGGACAAATGGTCATAAATAAATATATCAGTAATTTTGTATATAAATTCCAACACATATAGATACAAATATGTTTATAGTTATATATGTGTGTGTGTACATATACATATCTATACATGTGCACATATACATATGTATACATCTCCATACACATGTGCATGCACAAACACACACAAATTCACACAGAAACATAATCATCTCTGTCTCCAGAAAATAATAGATGTTATATTCATATAAAAATAAGGTTTTCTTTGGATAAATGATTGTAAATGTCTTTATATTTTATACTTTTCTGTATTTTGTAAATGAGTATGAATTATAGTCTAAAGAGAAAAATGTCAGACACACAAGAATCACATGAGTACATCAATAGGTCTTTATTTTTTCTGATTTCAAATCTCTTTTGTCATGTAATTAAATCATAGCAAAATATGCTTTATCACAGTGTAACAACTGGTGATCTCCAGGTACAATTCTGAACATTTTTGATGAAAAACGTCTACTTGCATCTCAAAAATATACTTCTAAAGTAATATTAACCTATAAAAAGAATAATGTGGAGATTTTTACTAAGTCTTGTTTAAAGAAACAATGCTTAAGAAAAATTATTAATGAGAATTAAAAATATATGTGGGTGTATGTTGGGGTTTTATCTACAGAGATATTAAAATGTTAGCATTTCCTGAACTGGCATGTATTACGCAGGGGATTTTTTATATTTCTATTTTTCAAAATAGGGAGAAGAGAAAAATGTTAACCAGAATGAATATATCTTTAAAATTTAGCAGAAGAACAAACATGAATTTTAAATTTACATTTCTATTCTGCCTATACTTTATGGATTAATCACAGAAAAAAAATATTCTTTGATCTTTGTTCTTGCATAATGTCTACCTGTATTTAACTTTAGCTAATTGGCATATTGCTGGTGTTAATTTTTACACCAGCATTAAAAGCATTAAGTAGCCAGTCAAATACAGATGGACTTCCACAGTCAAAGTGGAAAAAAGTTCATATATTTAGCATCCAGGATTAATGAAGTGAAATAAGATATTTGTTATATTCACATATGGATCATTTAAGGTACTATATGTATCCATTGAAAAGAAAAATGTTGAAGGGTACACATGTACATCTAAGGAATCAGGAGAGCTGGACTTTAGGTCTTACCAAAAAAATTATATCTTTGTGTAACCTTGGTAAGCCTCTGCCTCTTCCTTGGTTTCTCTATTTGTTAAGAGAGAGGACAAATCCCTATGATTTATTTATTTCCCAAGGGATTGGAAGTCTCACATTTAGTCAAGGACTCTTCGATGCCATTCATCTTCTCAGTCACAGGAATGAACTGCCCTCAGAAAACACACTGGACTTATTATCATCAGTACCACCACACTACCGTTACTACTAATACCACCTTTATAAATAACATGTGAAGAGAAAGTGACATTATAATTAAGGGACACTTTTATTCTTAGAGGCTAAAGTCTTTAGAAGATTTCTATAAGAGGACTGATTTGCACTTTTTCCAAAGATTCAATGCAGTACTTAGCCATTATTAATGTGAAAAAGGTATAGACTCAGAAAAATCAAGGCAGTTTTCAGAACTAAAGAATTAACTAAGAATGGTGGTATTGAAAGTTGGGATTTTAGCTTGGTTCTGTCTGACATTGCCACCCTGAATTCCTGGAGTATGAATGTGTATAATTGAGTCCTTACTTTATTTCGTTCTCTTTTGCCTTCAAAATAATGCCAAAGAAAAAAATTCAGGAAATTTATATTTTTCAGCTGTAAATCACTTCAATAAAAGGTATTGATTTGATAGACTTAGGGATATAATAAATATCTTGATGGCAAAACTGTCCTATACATCATCAGCCTGGATCAGTCAGAGAATGGGATTTTTCAGGGATAGTGTTCTTATCCAGATGGAGAAACACAAGCTATAGAGATTTCCACTCTTTCAGCACATTCTTTCAGCTTTTACCATGTGCCTTGCATTATAAGCAAGAGAAAGGGAGATGTTTAATAATAGCATACTAATATTTATTATAGACTAATCTAATTCAATCAAAGCTCCATGCTCAGATTTTTTTATTTATCAATTCCCTTACAGTGCCTGATCACTTTAGCCATAACTACTATAGAATAAATTTGGAAAATTTAAATAAATGGTTTATTATTTCCCTGACAATTCAGATCTTTTTTTCATCATACTCATACTATCATCTCTTTCCTTCTGATGTTTGTTCTCCTTTGGTTTTCCTTGTGTCTTTATTTATTTATTTTTTTTCTTCTTTCTTTTCTTTTTTCAAGACAGGGTCTCACTCTGTCACCCAGGCAAGAGTGCTCTGGTATGCTCATGTCTCACTGCAGCCTGACCTCCTGGGCTAAAGTGTTCCTCCCACCTCAGCCTCCTGAGTAACTGGGACTACAGACATGCACCACCACATCTGGCTAATTTTTAAAAAAATTTTGTATAGGCAGGGTTTTGTGCTATTGCCCAGGCTGGTGTTGAGCTGCTGGGCTCAAGCAATCCGCCCACTTTGGCCTCCCAAAGTGCTGGCATTATAGGCATGAGCCATACCAATTTATGTTTTCGTGTAAACACTGTAAACAATTATAGGTTAAAGCTGATGTCTGTACTATTTGCATTATAGACTTCAGAGGAATTACAGTCTTTTAAAAATTTCATTTCAAGGGAAATGTTTATTTACATAGCTTTGTTTCAGATGTTTCAAAAAGTACTTTTCTTTATCATTTTTCCTTTTAGCCATTTTAAGTCTAGTCAATAGGATAAGTTAAGAGGAAGAACACCAGATTTTAGGAAAGTTCTAAACATGCTCAAGTTTTACTCTCCAGCTATCCACATTATCTGTCAAATGATATGTCATCACGTTTTAGTGAAGATAGCATCTTTGCCAATGGAAAGGTCAAATGAAACTGTTTTTGTTTCACTCTTGAAAGTAAATGACAAATACAAGGAGACTGCCTAATGTACTTTTCTATATAGGGAGATGAATTTTGAAAAGTTAAACAAAGAGGTCAATTAACATAAAAAGAGAAAAATATACTAAACACAATTGGAAAAACAACATTCTTGTGTTTGAGTAATCAAGGGATTGCATGTTTAATCAACCTTGAGACACCCTGTTTATACAGTAAATATTAGACACTACTACAATTATAATACCAATTTCTAGAAGATGCAGCAAAAT